TCACTGACTGTCACATGATGTTGGCTAAGTCATGTCACTTACTTCAATTTTCATGTTCTGTAGTTCACCATGAATGACCTCATATTTGCATAATTCTTTACAGTGTACAACTGTAAGCTGTATCTTTTTATGCCAAGCCTAGAAAGAACTGCTGAATGTCAGGCTGCCATGTTCCAGCAGGTCTCAGCAAAACCTGCCTGTCCAGGAACTGTGGTACCTTAAAACTTCTTTTATGGAATACAAATGCCTCAGCCCTCCCCTGCAGCTTCATCCAGGTGACACCCAAGGTCACTAAAGTACTAATTTTCATCCCAAGGGCCTCCCACTCACTACAATCATAGAGCTTGACACAGAAGGAAGTATTCAACTTCTTTTATAATACTGTGATACAGGAAAAAGCGCCTCCAAAGCAAGACCATGATTAAGAGCAAACTATTTCTATGGAAACTATGAGCTAATATGAGAATCACTAATGACATTAAAATACTGCCTTCTAAAATAAATACATGCAAAAATAATACACTTGTGGGCTATGTAAGGCATTTTTTTTTTTTTTTTATTTTTCGGTTTATCTTATTAATGCCAGAAAAATAACAGCCGTTATTTTCACTTTAAATGCAAACCAAATACTGCTGCACACAGAGTACAAAGATTACCTACGAACATGGTTAGGTACAAAGGCCATATTAGATGTATAGACCAAACTTTGTTTTTACATCAGAGTAAGACTGACAGAGCAATTTTTTGGACATTTAGTTTAGCAAGTAACCGTGCTACTAAACAAAGGCAAATACACATATATATACATAAACACGTTTCAACTGAAGTTATTCGTGTCACTTGGACAAACAAAGGCTTCTTCTCTGGTGGGTTTCACCAGATATTTGCACCCCAAAGTCCCCTGCCCTGATCCCGCCCCCAAATGCTGACTTGATCTGAAGAAAAAAATCAGAGATGTTCTTAATTAAAGGCACATTTGGCAGCTACGGAAAGTGGCATGCATCTGGCACAGGTGCACTCCCCCTATAAAGCCACACCACATGTGACTTCCATCCACTATGCATCTCCTTTGAGTGGTAGTCCAATGTGATCCACCTTTAGCTAACTTGCTTTATAATTTTGCAGCAATTGGCTACTTAATGCACTATTTTCATTAAAGGCAAAAGGGAAGTTTGCTCACAGTTGACAGAAAATGCACTTTATGGTGTCAAAAATGGAAAATAAGGCATGAAATTTACAAAACAAGTTACAAGTGCTTTTGTTTAGATTTATCATAGACTTCATGCTTTTCTTAACTAGCGCTCAAAATATTTCATTGGCTCATGTATAAGGAATTTTGAAATGATTTTAAAAGTAATGAGATGTTTCAAAAGAAAAATACTGAATAAATAAACTAAGTCATCACTTTCCCTTATAAATAATTTTACTGCATAATTCTTTCAGACAAACTGGTATTAACCCTGTGATGCTTATTTTACTGGTAAAGATTTATGTGCAACACAACAGGACCTACACTTGTACGACAGTCATACAATATAGGTTAAAAGAATAAGTGAACCTACCTATAGCAGCAGAATACCGAGAAATAAATGGTTAAATTTTTCCTTCTGAATCTGGAGGGGAAAAAAAAGGTTTTCCTCAATATGTATAACACTAATAAATTGAGACACCTCCCCCCATTTCCATTATCTGTTTTGCTGAGCTACTTAAAACTCTGAAGTTAAGCTGTCATGAAAAGACAAATGATGAGGTACATGACTAATGTGAGCTAAATTTGAGAATTAAGACAAGATTGTGATCATAGATACCAACTAATTTTTGGTTTGCCTAATTTTTGATGTACGGAAAAAACACATTAAGGAATTTAGAACCATAATATAGCCTCCAACTGAAATAGTACTAGTTCACTACACTGTTCTGTTAATTGGAGTATAATTAGCGTGGCATATGCTCCTTGCCAAATTCAGATACATTAAAACATTCTTGAGTTGTTAGAGCACAGTAACCTACTAAACACATCATTTGATACCCAACAACCTTTAATTAAGCAAACTTTTGACCTTTGTACATTTCCTCATAATTTGTAGTCTTAAAACACATTTGGAAATCTGGGAAGAGTAATTAACCTGGCTTTCAATAAATTTAGAAACATATACTTATCTTTTCCTGTTTTTAAAAGTACTTAGATGTGAAAAGCCTCCCTTTCTATTATATTGGTTATCAGCCCATTTAGGTAAATTCAACCTTGAAATATTTTCTTCATTTTGTGATCCAAAGATAATGAAACATCTAAGAGCACTTACATTTCTAAAAGAAACGTTCCATATTTTGGAAGGTGATTTAGGAAAAGTCACGCTGCATTGACTGTCTTGTAATGTCCTGAATTCAAAAGCAGAATTTTGTGGTGATGCATTTGTCTTCTCAGCCACTTCCTGGCCCTGGAAATTTTAGTTACTACAAAGAATAAGTTTGCCAGCTAGTTAATGTTTCACATGTGAAGAAGGCAAGGATACAGTTTTCTCAACTCCATTGAAGGGCATCCAACTGGAATTTTTCTAATCAGTTACCACTGCAGAAAATATTTTTACCCAAATTTTACACTTTAGAATAAAAATATCCTCTATCCACAATGCATGTAAAGCTGATGCACAGTGAAGCGGTCGCCTAGAACCACGAGGGTAGAAGAATGCTTCCCTTTGGGAGAAGTATGATTAGAACTTCAAATCTGAGTTTTTTTTCTTTATACAATCAGGCAGGTTGAAAAGAGGTCATTACCTTGTTGAAGGCTAACACACTGGCCAGAGAGATACTGAATGGGCTCCAATGGGACTTTTCTCAGGTTCTCATTTGGAGTGGGGGTGGGGTAATTAAAAAGAGAAGTGAGCGTAAGACATATAAAGGGAAATCCTAGGGACGATGCGGCTGGACTAATAAAAAGTCATGGAAATTCTGGAATGTGTATTATGATTAATTGTAGCAGCACTAGTAAGTAGGCTTAGATAAATACTTGTTGAATGAATGGTCTTATGGACACTTTGCATACAAGAGGAGATTTGAAATTAATTTGGGGGGAGACTTTTAAAAGGAGACATTTTACAAAGAGAAAAGTGGCTACCATAATAGGAATGGTACAAATATTAGAAAAAAATGATTCAACTCTAACAAATAAAGTATATGACAGGATGGACTGCTAAATGATGATGCAACCAACACTCTGGTCTTAAAGGACTATATATTGTACTACTGTGATGTACATTTAGTGCTCTAATAAATATCACAGAAAATTATTAAAGTACTAGGTTTCCACCATGATGCAGCACTTCTAAAAATGTCTCTAATGGCATGGTTAACAGAATTGCTGAAATGTTGCTTCATTATTCAGAGGACACATGCATATACTGATGCACTGATGACTCTCTAAGGATGGAATACTGCACACTTCACAGATACTATAGTGGAGATTAATAACGCTTTTTCTCTTCAACAAGTTGCATGCATTTCAATCACAGTATTTGTTAGACTCAGAAGATCAGTACATAGGCTTAATGAATAATCCATATTATGATATTAATGATGTAGGTAGATGTTCTATTACGAATAGTTCCGAAAGAGCAAAGACCTCAAGCAAGGTAGAATGTTTAATATAAACTTTAACAGACTTTATACATGTTACCTAGGAAATTAAAAACCTTACAAAGCTCTGCTTAAAAGATACCCATCCTATTCTAACCAAATATTTTCCTACATGCCAAACTGCAACTTTAGATCATTCTTTAAGATGAATACATACATCCAGAACTAGAAACCAAGGCGTACCACAATACGTGCTTTTATGCTTAGTGTTTGTGTGTTTCAACTGAAAGAAATAAGAATCAACCATTTTCTCATATAATAATTTAATATATGCCAGCCAAACAAAGTATTTGTATCTTTATTCAATTAAATTAAAACAGACCTGCCAGGTATATTATATAACATTCACTATATACACATGATTTAGGCAATGCAAGGTAATTCTAGATATGCTGATCACCCAACTATTAGTAAAACATGAACGGTGTCAGCGATGCCCAGCAAGCACTCCTTTCACACTGGGTGACTGCATTTCCATAGTATGGTTAGAGGGACAGCTACAAGCCATGACATGGATTACCAGTAAACTTTTGTGGGAAAAGGGGGGAAAATGACAATCTAGCATAGATTAACAGTCTCCTAAATGTAAATCATATACTTGACAGTTACATTGTTTTAAAATTTCTTCTGTCATTGTTAATGACACAAAACTTCTCTTGTTTGAAGGCAACACCACCACATTTTGTTTGTGTAGGGAGGGTGGGTAGGGGAATGCTCTTAAAATCGGTATAATTATTCTTAAAAAAAAAAAAAAAAAAGTACCTCTTTGGTGAAGCCTCGGTACCCATTCAATTCACTGTAATAATCTGTAAACAGGACTGTAGTACAGTGCTGGGCCTTGATTCCAACAAGGTCAGGTACCACAGCCTTTCCTCACAGTCCTCTGAATGATTTTTAAGAAAATATTCTAAAGTAGGACAAACAAAAGCAAAGGAAAACAAAGGAGGATTTGAAGGTCCCTGTTTAAGATTTCTTTTTAAAAAGTGCATAATATTTTGAATTACAAAAACTGTCATCATGTGGGCCTGCTGGACACTAGACTGTGTTTTTCATCCCTTTAATGATAAAGATCACTTCACAAAAAGAGGACTCCTGCCTACTGGCTGGAAAAAGTTCCCTTTACTTGATTTTCAGGTGCAATCAGTTGTCCACTTCCTCTAGATCAGTCTTTCCATATTCTAAACGAACACCATTTTCACTTTATAATTACATCTAGGTTAAAATTCATTGTCTTATACTGCATCTTGAAGTAGAGTCATTAGTGTTTGGAGTTCTCATTTTAACTCCTCAGTGCTGGCACATTCAGTGCATCCATCGCCAGCAATGGATTTGGGGCCAGGAAAATGTACATCCTGGTATAGAGGAACTCAGGAAGAATGAGCATTCTCCAACAGTGGTGGTCCATCTCTGTGCATGGATGGGTGTGTATGCTCCCTTTTGTAAGTTTTTGGAGGGAGTTTAGGGATATGTTGAGAAGTGCTCTGTCGTGGAGGAACAGGCGGCCCAGCAATGGAATGAAGGTCCACTTCTTGTGTCAATGGTGGTGATGGCAGATGCCTTCTTGTGCCGTGAGGAGAAGGTGTTTGAGGAGGAGGTGGTGTAAAGGGGGAAGGGCTGTTTGGGAAGAAGGCATTACTATGGTCACTTTTTTTGCCCAAAGGGGGAGGTTGGAGATGTAGTGGTGAGCTTGAGAAAACATCAGGTGTCCTCACGGGTTCTCGTGGAGGTAATAAGGGAGGGCTTTCAGGAGGATCTGATATAGAGGTCCGGTCTGATACTGAATATCGTGGTGAATAGGCTTTTGATGTGGGTTGCCTAGGAGGAATTGCTGGGGGGCTGTCCAAATGCTTAGACATGATCTAACATAAACGGGGGAAAAAAAGACATTTATTAATAATTTAATTTATGTAGCACCATGAATATATTAAGAATTAAGCTGGGGTTTTCAAATATGCTACTGGAAGAACCCTAGATGTGGATCAGGTCGTTTTGCCACGTTTTAACAATTGGAGATTATGGCAGTTCATTCATTAAAAAAATTATTTTTCCCTCAGTGTTGTTTTTATTTTTCTCAAAATTTTATTTGCTACTGCTTATCTATTATTGAATCTAATATAAGATCATTTCCATTAAACATAAATTACCTGTCAACTTTACAATTTTAAACTTACTATATTAACATTTCATGATATTCTGCAAAGTGTCTTGACTTGCCCAGGTGCTCTGCTCTCTGGACACTGAGAACACTGAATCATGTTAACAACTGGCAAAGAAAGAAATTCAAAGAGGTAGAAAAAATAGCTATTATGAGCCTTTAAGGTCTCTTCTGACCCACAATTTTCATGAAAATCCCACTTAAAAGCATGCCACATTCACCTATTAAGGGCTCAGATAGGTAATATTTAGCACTAAGATACCATTTCATTTAAAATGTGCTTTCATATAAAGCTTCAGACCTCTTTCCTTCTCTCTCTCTTGTATCTTTTAAAGAACTGCTTGAGACTGCATTACTCTTACATTATAGGTTAAACTTTTTTCTTGACAGTACCCATAATTTAGATTTACAAGGGTCTTGAAAACCTACCAAAAAACTGCTTTCAGAAGAAAGGAAATAAACATTACTGTGTCGTAAATCCATACTTAATCCTTGTTTAAACTCTATTAAGCCCCAATACTCTGAGTATTAACCTAATTCAGTTAGAACTAAACCAGACACAAGCAATTGATTATAATGTAACTGTAATGATTCCAGTTTCCAGATAACAAGGTTTTCTACTTTACCTTAGATGGCGAAGATTCCGCTGGGGCAGATTCTGGTCGTCTTCGTGGAGGAACAGGAGGGGGGACAGGCACTTCATCAGTGCTCTTGTTTAAACTTATAGATGATACTGAAGCAGATCCTGTAGGATGTTAAATTTTTTGAAAAGTTCACAGGAATTTTATTTCATCTATCAATCCTGAAAAGACTTGGAAACTGCTTATATTTATTAAAAGAAATGTACAGAAGTATCAAAAGCAGTTAAATAAATCAACAACCAATAGTATTTCCTTTATTAAAGCAAACTGCTATAAAAGCATGCAGAAATTTCTTAGCAGAATTTTCAGAAAAAAAGCTGCCTAAGATATTCTGTTATTATGTTTCTTGAACAAAATAACATTCCCACTGTTAAGCTATTACTGGAATTTTTTATTTGGATCTGAGTCTCAGATTTCTGGGAGAGACAGCAAACTATTAAAAACCTTTGGAATGGTAATTTCTGTTAAGCTTTTTTGATGGGCTCATTTTTTCCTCTGACTTTATTAGTACAGAATTTTCTTGCCTTCACTGGATAGTCCTTGGGGATAGTTTCTGATCTTAACCACTCTCTCCAATGTCTCTCCCAGCAATCCCCTCAAAGGATGCCAGGGACAGAATCTAGTGCCTGGGGGAGGGGGGTCTCTCCTCAGTGTGCTTAGATATTGTTCTCCTTGGCAGGGAAGCAAAGTCAGGTTCATCATACTCTAATCCAAAAATTTTCATTGTGATGGAGGTATTTAAGACGACTGAGGCAGTGCTGATAATAAAAACAGAAATTACACTAGAATCTGGTGAACCTGATTTAGGAGTAAGTTGATAAACTGGCACCAAAAAGGTAAGTAAAGCCTCTAACTGTAACATATCTTATACACATTTATAATGACAAGGACTTAGTATAAGCATATAAATAATTACACTTTGAAAAACATTTATGTTAAGTTGTTAACTAGTTTATCAGCACAATGAAAAAGATATGAAAAAACACTTAAATGGTCGTTCAAAATTATATTTGGCAGGTTCTTTTTCTCCTTTAAACATTGACAGTTTTTATTTTGCCAATTAAATGTTATAACAATATAGAACTTAAAAAGAGTACTTTGTGTATTGATATTATTTAAATGAACAACATTTTGATCACCTACCTTTTTTCTTAAGAGACTATGTAAGTTAATTTAGCTTATAAGAATATTTTCCATTGTACACATTCTGAAATCATTTGTATAAAGAACAAAAAACAATCTATTAGCTTAAAATTTATGGAATAGTTTGGTGAATTGTTAGTTTACTTTAAAAGTAAAAGCAAATACCTACATTGGAACTTTATTTTGCTTATCAGTGATGAATATTTAGATTATATAATACAGATAGGTACAATGATAAGATAGCTGTTCTAAAGTCAAATAATAGTCATTTGCCTACAATCTGTGCTGTTCCCAGGCTAAGTGACTTAGACACTGCACGTAGCTGCCAACATTCTCATATGCGCATGCATGCTCTTGCTTTTTTTAAAAGTTGAGCATTAAAATATGTTTAGAACTCCAGAGTTGGAAATGAGAAATGGTTAAATGTGGAAGCCACCCATATAATAATGTTCTTTCAAAAGAGAAAAAAGATTTTACAAAAAGCATGAAAAATATGTAAGTTTAAGCAAATCATTTATGGTCAAAAGATAGCACAAGTGAAGGCCTCACTTCTAAGATGCTGCAAAGCAAGGTACCAATACTGCCAGACCCAAGAAGAGTTTTAGCAGGAAAGGTTACATTTGGTTTAATCTTTAAAGCCAAAGCGAAAATTATGAGTCTTAAACCAAATATACTAACTTGGGCCATGGGGCAGTGTAACTTGGATAAAGACGGTATCGCTGCCTGTGAAAGGAAACAAGAAAAAGTATATATTTTTTCTTTCATTGATATATTCAAACTCATCTGTAAAAATTTATTTATGATAGAAATGTTATTTTTGTCATTCTAGTTTTAAAGAATGGTAGAACAGTTTAGCAAAAGCTCATTACTACTTACTTTTGAGAAAGATAAAGAACTAAACTGCATTAATATCGAGAATTTTCAAGATTCCTTTTAGATTCACTACTTGATGCCATAATAATTAAATGAAAAGCATTCATGAGAAAACTATATACAATATACTGTATATTAGAGGAAGACTTCCAAAAAATGTATAAACCCAATGTGAGCAAAGAATTCAGCTGGACCTACAGAAATATGTCATTTACTAAGGATTATTTTGAAAAACCAAACTTGTGAAAATAAGTAGTAAATAATAAATTTATGTTACAAAAATTGAAACATAAAAGGAAATTTCTTACTACTATAATTATTATAAAGTTTTGGAAATGTTCTTGGGGTGTATGTTCATCACAAAATAACTACAGCTTTGGATATTACAAACAAGCTTGAAAGTGATATAGCTTTTTTCCTTCTATATTTTTAAACACTTAAAAAAATCATTAAACAGTTTTGGTGCTTAGACACATTTTATATAGGAAACTGATAATTTCTGAATGTCTAATTTCAACAACACTAGCCCCAAGAGCATTAAAGTAGAAAAACTGAGACAAAGGCTAGAAGATCTATATTGCTTCTAAATCGATATAGGTGTTTAGGTTACACTGCCTCATATTACCAACATACTGAACAGATAATATCCAAGAGACTAAAGCAATACCTATAGCACTAGACTGAGCTGATTTTTAAAACTTCAGGTTTCTCTCATTTTTGCACAATAGGCAATCACTCAAATAATTAGGGCTGTTGTTTTTCTAGCTTCTTTGCTCAGAATGAGGATAATTTTACGTCCCAGGTTCAGTGGGCGGAATTATTAATTTGATTGCTTATACAGATACAGTGTTCTTATTTCCCAGACAGCTCCAATTTCAAATAATCTATCCTATTACCTCCTTTCCATATGTACTGATATTTATTTGGAGGCTCTGGTTACTAAGGGTAGCAATCCAGCTAATTCTAATAAGTTAGCTCTCAAAAGATTAAAATTCAGTTTTACACTTTGATATTAAATAATTCTGCTACTGTGTCAAAGATTCTGTTTACTAAAAATCAGATTCTCTTCACTAACATAATAGGGGTTAAAGGGGGTTATCTGCTTTAGTGTTTACTACTTATGTATTTTCCAGTTTTCTTGGAAAGGAAATAAATATGCCTTCTGGAGATAAGCCTCAAGAACATGGTCGTATACTTAGTACAATACAGGAATAAAATCAAGAGACAAAGCTCATGACAGTTACCAAATGCAGGCTTTTAGAAAGAATGATTACACCTATGCATACACACTTGTGCACGCAGACGGAGACTTGGCTTTGATCATATTTATATATAGCGCAGGCTTAGATTCATGTGTAAACTTGGGGCACTTTTCTGATTTGTCACTTCAAACTAATTGCTTGGTCTTACTGCCTGGAAAATGCTATTTAAAAACTCTCAGAATTAAACATTATATATATCAAGAAATATATACTAGGAATTCTTGTCCACTAGGTACTGAACAAATTTATTGATAATGACTTAGAAGTGAAACCCAATTAATCAAAAAGTAGTATCAATTTGTTAAATACAAATCCCAGACAACAGATCAGTGGTTCTCCATCGTAGCTGCACATTAGACCCTGCTAGGGAGCTTTTAAAAAATACTGATGCCCACGTGCCAATGCCAGTGTAACTCAAGCGTGGGCTGGACATAGAAGTATTTTTTAAAGCTCCCCAGGGGGCTGTAATGTCCAACCAGGGTTGAAACCCTGTTGAAGATAATCTCCAATTTATAATTGAGTCATTCTTGGAATAGGAATAAGCATTTTCCTATAGAAAAAAATTATATAAATCATGAATAACTTCTTAAACTCCCAATAGCCTGTTAAATGCAAGTGTATGAAATCAGAAACTAATCACTTATAATAATCTTCTATGAAGAAAAGCCTTGCATTCCAGCTTCAAATGCTTGGAATGCATTTTTTCTCGTTAAAGCTTTCCCTACTAAGGGATGGGGCTAAAGCTCATCTGCAGCCCACAGACCAGGCCAGACCTATGGCTTCCTTTTATGACCAGGCAACCTTCAAACAGGAAGGTACCAAGAGCACTTCATCCTCCTCCCTCCATGCTATAGCCAGAGATGCAAAGCTGGGTGGTTTCTCCCCTTTTCCCGGCCACTGTCATCATCACCTCAGAGGTGGACCTGGTCAGGGTAAGGTGTGGAGCAGGGTTCTGAATGTGAGGATGTATGTAGCAGCAGTAGGTAGGTGGCCAGTTTCCTTCCCTCTCTGTCTTCACCACAAAGCTTTCCGTGACCATTCTTGCCCACTCTGTGGTCATCTTTGTGTAAACTTCTACAGCATTAATGTCTTTGCCACTCATTTAGCATTTTGCTAATAAATTAGCACTTATACATCTTCTCTGGTGAAGCCTGCAGTCTTACTGAGAGTTGAAAAAACTCATGGTACAAAAAGAATCAAGCCCTTAACAACGGTCAAGCATTTAACTATGATTTTCTTTGTACTATGATTATTTTTTTAACATCTCAGTAAGACTGCAAGCCCTAACAGAGAAGGTGTGTCACTGCTTAGCAAGAAATGAGATATGCAACAGATACTGGCTGAAAAAATTAATCTTTGTTTTTAAAGTAAGTTATTTTTTGAAAAAAAAACTATCAGAAGCAAAAAAAGAACTATTATAACTGATCAAAAATTCTAGTCAAACTCTGCGTTTTAAAAAACATTAAGCAATGGAACTTTTTGCCTCATTGTATGGAGTGGAATATGTTCAGATGACTTAAGAATGTAGGTACAGCAGCTCTTTCCTGCCAGGCCCTGAGGGAAGCAAGGAAGTAGGTATTTACTCTAGTGGCAACACAGTGAGTACCAGGCTGGACATGCTGGTGATCCACCTCCCACCCCCACCCCATAACACTAGCAGATCTGTTAAGCAGAGTGGGGTCAAAAGCAGATGAGGACCTTTAATATACATAGACCACTAATGAACTTTAAGTAAGGGACTGAGCATACAAATGGTTTTATATTATACTGGCTTACTTAATTTCAAAATCAGTTATTTTCAGTTTTTACTAAGAACAGAGGGAGTAGTAATAGGGGCTTTCTTTTTCACAAAGGAAGAGAAATTGAAAAAATCTTCAGGGCTAAGATTACAAAGCCTAAGGTTTCTCCACTTGTCTAGCTATTTTTAGTTAATATTCTTCCACTGTCACATATGACAAAGCACTGATCCAGAGCACTGCATTCCAAAATGATTCCCTTTTCCCTGTTTGACTAATAATTTAAAAATTTAGCACTAGCAGGGAATGTAGTAGGCTTATCTCCTGTTTTTCTACATCTTCCATTTTTAGCTACTTAAACTAAGAGAAATAGAATTTGCAATTGATGGCCTTCATGTGATTTCAATAATTCACTCATGGGAATCTTTATAATATAGATCACAGCCAACTGCTCTTGGAAAAACACCCTTCAAACAGTTAAATGGGTCATAATAAACAAGGATTTTAAGTCAGGTATACTGTGAAAAGTGCTGCTTTTATTTTATTACTTAATTTAGGAGGTTGGTGAATTGGGGAAAATAAATGGGAATTTTTTTAACCTGGTGTTTATTTGAACTTATAAAAAATATCTGATAGCCTACTGTGTGCATAACATGACTTCATAATCCTCAGTAGCCAAACAAGGCCAAGGTGTGGTAATTCTTAAAACAAATACACTTTAGGTGGTAAAAAGATAAGACAAACTTCTGGGTAACTACAAATATATATACAACATGGGAATAAATAAACGGGATTCTGGACCAAATCTCAAAATAATATACCTCCAAAAAATAATTTTTTTTTAAGTTAGATTCTCTGAGTTGGAAGAAATCTTAAAAATCTAGTTTAATCCCCAGAAGGCACAGAAAAAGTATTTGATCGAAAATCAGAAAGCTCACTAGCAGACGGGGATGGCAAACTAGGGTTCCTAACTCCTATGTCAGTGCTTCTCAGCCTCCTCCCGAATAATAATGTCATGCTGCCTCTCACTATTGGATTCTATAACATCAAATATTAGGGCAGAACTTGAACTGTACACTGAGCTAGGACAGCCAATGCGAAGAGCATGTGGAAATGGTTGTGAGAGGGTTAAAGCCGACTGAATTCAAACTCTGATTTGATAACGAACAAATGAAAAAAGGTTGTGGGTTCTTAGTAGAGATTTAAAGCTCCACATGAAATTGATTAAAAAATTAATGGAAGCATGGTGCTCTAGATATAAAAGGTAGCCTCTTCAAAGGGCTAGGGCTGGGCTGTACAGTTTGGCACCTATTAGCCACATGTGGTTATTAAGCATTTGAATGTGGCTAGTCCAAATTGAGATGTGCTATAAGTGTAAAACGTATACTGCATTTTGAAGATTTAGAACCAAAAAAGAGATTGCAAAATGTCTCAGTAAATTTTTATACTGATTTCATATTGAAATGACAACATTCTGCATATGCTGGGTTAAATAAAATATATTACTAAAATTAATTTCACCTAATTCTTTTTGCTTTTTTTAAATGTGGCTAAAGATCATTTAAAGTTACACATGTGGTTCACATTATATTTCTATTGGACAGCACTGATTTAGAACTAGGAAAGGGATGAGCAACAGTATGCAGGCTGTGAGATTTGTATGGCTGGGCTTGAAAGCATAGGAGTGTATTAGCCGGCGCTATATATACCACCTGCTGGATGGTGTAGATTGAAAAAGGGTTAAGTAGGAGTTTGAATTCGATACATGGCAAAATTAGAAACTACAGAGTTTGGCTGGAAAGGAACCAGGTACTGAGCAGTATCCAAATATAATTTTGGAGGCAGCATTTAAAGTATCAGATTGACATTCCATGCAGATTTTAGGAGTTATCTTTGTTTCCTCCGGAAGTTAGAGATGCATTTTAAATTCACCAATCGAAAACAAATGCTCAAATGAGATTTCAATTTCATCACCAGGCCTATCTGTAAAGTATAATACATTTAAAGAGGGTTGTTCTAACAGATAAACTGCTGGAGTTTAGAATTTATTTTATATTTCTATAATAATAGCTTTTGAAATGGTATTTGATTTACCTACAAATTTACAAAAATATATATATATACAGATTCCTTTTTACCTCTAGCACATATAACACTAACAATTACTTAAAGCACTTAAAACTTGAGCACCTACTTGAGTGAAAAGGGCTTGAATGATCAGAATCAAATACGCTGCAAACATCTGTGGTACTAGAAGCGCCAGAAGCAGGAGGAGGTGTTAACGGTGTTCTTGGAGAATTTGGCGCAGATGCTGTACTTTCTGTTTCACTTTCAGGGATCCTACTATAACTAATTTTCCTTGGCTCTTGCTGCAGAGGTGTGGGATGTCTCATAGTACCTGGTCTTGGGTTTGATGGACGAACACCAGGAGATTTTAGGGGATAGCTATATTTTTTTGGCTGTAGACATATCAAAAGAAACACAATACTTACAACACCATAATGGAAAAGAAGGTTCTTCTATAAATGCTTGGTAAAATTCGATTAGTATCTAGGAAAACCACAAAGCACTAATAAAGAAGTGACATCATGATTCAAATCAAAGTGTCCAAGTTGAAGAGTTAACACCCCATTTGCATAAAGCCTTGGCTATCTAAATTATTAGGGAATTCATTTCTTTAAATAACTGAGTCTTAGTCCTATAAATACCAGAGTATTTGTTATTTTAATATTTTTGATGGAAATCTTTCTAAGATATGGTGTATATTTCTCTGGCCTTTAAGACTACGCTGAACTAATTCAAGCTTGGTAGAAAAGCCAGGATCACTGTTATGAACTATGATAGCCTACTATGCTGTAATACAGTGATGCCATCAGGATCATTTGAGCTATTTACAAATGCATTAAACTGCTTGAGTTTTCATCTGTTTATGTTAGTTTTATGGCATTTTTTTTCTTACAGAGTGATCATTTCTCAATGATATCAGTGTGTCTCATTGGAGCAGACTATATAGCTATTTCCAATTTGCTGTTTTTTTTTTTTTTTGCGGTATGCGGGCCTCTCACTGTTGTGGCCTCTCCCGTTGCGGAGCACAGACTCCGGATGTGCAGGCCCAGCGGCCATGGCTCACAGGCCCAGCCACTCCGAGGCATGTGGGATCTTCCCAGAGCGGGGCACGAACCCGAGTCCCCTGCATTGGCAGGTGGACTCTCAACCACTAGCGCCACCAGGGAGGCCCAATTTGCTGTTTTTAATCCATCTTTTAAAAAACTGTTTTAGGCCTTGAGAAATTTTCTTGTGATGTAATTTCATAAGCTTTGGTTCACAGACATTATGAGACTTATCTTGGTTACTTAGAAGCCATTCATGTTTACTTCTTGATTCTTGACTTTCTTATGAATAAGAGAGATTATATTCAGAGCAGTGAGATGATGATACTGTATATAAACTTGGCCAGGCAGTTACTAGTAATAAGAAAGAATGGAAACTTTATTTCACCCCCAAAAAAGTATCTTTAGCCAAGCCTGTTATTTTTATGGCTAATGATTCAAGGTTAAAAGTTCTCATAAAAAGTACTTATATGAGTACATATATTTATTATAAGTGAATTAGTATAAATTATCAGATTTCCTGCCCTTAGCATAAATACTGAATAACATTTTTTGTTAAGTTGGCCATATTTGCCCAACTTCTTCATCTATCATATTAGGATTTATTCACATTAATATTAGTGCCCATTTACCTGGAACTAAGTGGAATAATCCTGAGCATATTTATTAAGCATTTATTCACTATTTTTATCCATTACATGTGCACGTCATCTCTAAATGCCTTTATAGAAAACTATAAACCACCAGATATAGATGACAACTGTAAAAAATATATAAATGTAAAAGAAATATAAATGTATGAATGCTTACAAATCTTGGGAGAGGCTTAGGGTTTCGTGGTTCTATTTCTAGGGATTTGTTGAAAAGATAATCTGTAAATTCTTTTTCCATACTATTTCCCATTGGATTCAAGTTTTCAAAGAACCTCTAAAATAGATGCCAAGAAAAACAATTATTAATATTCAATAATTTAAATTCAGTTTAAAGTTCATGAAAATAATTTAAGAAAACATTTAACTTAAGAAAATTGGAATTATTTACGTTTTATTTTCCTTTTTCTCCAAAATAAACCTGCCTCTTATCAGGTGGTTATAAACTTAATCAGAAATCAAATAATTCAACTTACTTTGATATCTGATTCTACTCGTAAACAATAAGGCTGATTTTGGTACTGCTGGATCTCGCCTGTTATTTCTGCTACTTTCCTCCTTTTGCTAAAGTTTATAAGCTCTTTTCCATGCCTTTTTAGGACCTCAGGGTTGCCTTCTTCTGTTTTCAAGATATTAGTTAGATAAATTCCTAGAAGAGATAATAAATTATTTCAAGGATAAAAATGGAAAAGGCTAGTTTTTTTCTTTCTCAGTAATTATAGGTATATTACACTGTACCATCTCAACCATCATAACCAAAGAATTAAGGTACAAATTTCCATTCTATGAAAAACAACAAGCTAAGTAAATATCAAAGAAAGATTTTTATAAGTATCAAATTATTCTGTGACTTAAGTTCTATAAATACCCAGGAAAAAGGGAGACCAAGTTTAACAAAATTAATAGATTTTCAGGAGCAATAACCAATTTCCCACCCACCCACACCCATATGTTATTTAACATTAAGTCATGGTTTTGTTAAAGGAACTTTAAGAATAACCTATCACTATTAACACATATTTTTGGCAAAACAGGAAAATGTCAAATTTAGAGGATCATATTTTCTGCTTACTCAGCTCTTGAGGCCCCCAAGAGGTTGTTAGGCTTTGTAATTCAGAGGTAGTACTGTTTGGATAGGCTGACTCATGAAAACGTGGGCGGATGTGCAAGCCTATCCAACACAGGACTGCATATGATTTATGTATATTCTCGTCTTCAGTACTTCTAGAATTATGTCAACCTGGTAAGGGAGCTCCTGTTTCCCCATAACTGCAGTTTGTGCACTGGATGAGGAGGAGAATGAACAAAATAGCAGGCATTTTAGTTCCTTTCTGTTCTAGCATAAAGGTTCTGGAGCCAGCTCTGCTGCTTTCTCCTCTTGTGATCTTGTGCAAGTTGCTTAGCCTTGGTTTGCTCATCTCTAAAATGAGGACAGCAGGGTTGCTGTGAGAAATAAATGAGTAAATTTATGTACAGGCTTAGAATAGGGCCTGACAAAAGTAGATGCTTAATTAGCTGTGGTTGGGATTGTTGATACTGTTGTTGCTATTCTTGCCCTATCCTATTTCTGCCTTTTCCTCTGAAGTACTGACTATGATGCTTTGGGGAAAAAAAAAGTGTGAATATCTGAGTTCATTTGCTCAGTACACATTTGCTGAGTCTCTGCTGTACGCCAAGCACTGCATTAGGTACTGCAGATACAAAGATGAACAAGACACACACAGTTCCTGACTTCAAGGAATTCAGAGTGTTGAATGTGGGCTACTACAGTACCATTTGGTAAGTGCTATATTAATTAGTACTAATGCATAAGATGCTATGAGAGCACAAACAAGATGTGCCTAACTCTGCCTTGAGCTGTTGGGAGTAGCAGAAGCATCACAGGTTAAAATATGCTTAAAGTAAGTCTCAAAAAATGAATAGAAGTTTAATAAGCAGAATAAGATAGCGGGGCATTCTAAGCAAAGCAGCCACGTGTTTGAAGGCACTGGTTTTTGTGAAGCTTAGAGGCATACTCAGAAATGGCTAGCCTTTAGGGGTTTGGTCTATGGGGTGGAGGAAGAGTGGCAGGAAATGAGGATAGGCAGAGGCAAGGAATCAGTAGTTCTAATCCCTTCTCCATCACTGCAGGTTAGCCCCTGGATGAGGACAGGGATGAACAAAGCAACTGGCACTTCAGTTCTAATCACAGATTAGTGGTTCTAAATGGTTTTGTGGTAGAGGCAAACGTTTGTTTTTTTTTGGCTGCACTGCACTGTTTGTGGGATTTCAGTTCCCCGACCAGGGATCGAACCCAGGCCCTTGGCGGTGAGAGCACCAAGTCTCAACCACTGGACTGCCAGGGAATTCCCGATGCAAACTTTTTTAAATACAAGAATATCTGGCTACGTTCTTGGCAAGATTAAATAACTCAAAATCAATAGTGAACAGTTAGCAATAATGAAACATGACAGACATCAATGCCTGTTTGGTTCTAGAAAGCATCCAGTTATTCAGTGTATTAGTTACTTGGCTATTTCTCAGCACCTAGGCTACTCTTGATTATATATGCATAAGACAAATTGACCATGTGTTCTAGTAAGCACAGGCTCTTTTATTTTCCACATCTGCCTGTCACTGGCTTTTTTACTTGCAGTCGGTTATATTCTCCTCTACACTATGTTGCATGACCCACTTAGCTCAATGTTCAGTCTGACAAATGTCTGTGACAGTACACGTATTTAATGGGAGCCAAAATTAACTTTCCATATTGGCCACAAACTGATGGCCCAACTATGAAGAGTTTGTGGGTAGTAGCACCCGTACAGGGTCACAAAGAGCCTTTTTAAAAGAGCTTAGCTTTTATCCAGTAGGTAATTAGGAGACTATCAGCATCTTTACATTCTAGAATGATTATTCTGGTTGTACTGTGACACTAGATGGGTTAGAAGGAGTTAAGACTAGAAGCAGGAAGCTCAGTTAACAGAGTAAAAGTCATCTTGGTGAGATGATGAGGGCTACCTTAGGGCCCACAGGGATAGAGTGGAGTGCATAAATATCTAAGAGGTAAATGCCACAAGAACTGATTAAGTGGTTTGGGCAGAGGGTAGGCACAGTGGGAAGGAAGACTCTCACCTTTGTGCTTGAGGGACTGACTGGGTGGTGGTGTAATGACTGACCTGGGGAACATGGGGATAATAAATTGTGGGATATTGTAGGTGTTAAAAGTATACTTGAAAGAAGTTGTGAAAATGCTTACAAGTAGCATTTTGGGAGAGTTCAGGATAAAATTTGGAATTATTTTATGACAAATTAATGGCTAGTTAAAAGGAGAACAAATAATTAAAGAGGTGGTGTTCAAACTTTGTTGATCATAAACTACATCAGTAAAAAAATGTTTAAGCATGCACTCGCTCTCTCTCTCTGTGTATATGTATAATAAAAAATGTAGTGCAAATACGTACATATACGTGAATATTATAAACTGTTAAAGTTTAATTTTTTTTAAAAAAAGATCATTTTACATACCCTGCTCTAGGGACAGCTGTTCTAGGGAGAGGAAAAGCAGAGCATTATGACAAATGATGAAGAGGGGTGAGGTTTCACCTCTTTGCTGACAACCTTCCCAAGCTTTTTGGGAAAAAGTGGCTGCTCAGGGTTCACAGAACACTCTGTTCATACTTTGATTTACACGTTTCTACAATACAGTGTTATATTTACTACATAGCACTATAATTTATTTTTCTGCTCTTTCAAGGGAGCTTATTGAGGATAAGACTATGTTTTACTTGTCTCTCTATTCTCAACACCTAGCCCTGGGCCTGGCACATACAGGCATTCGACAGATATTTCTGAATGAACAAAAGCAACACACTATTTCAGAATAGAAAAGAAAGCATTTGCAGACTAGACCAGGATACAAGAGACATACAGTCAATTCTAAAATGGCAGGAAAGCAAGAGTGGAGATGGAACAAACTGACAAGAAACAGAAGGAGAACACAAAGTTAGAGCAGTGTGAAAGGAAAAGAGCAAAGCTGATGTTACAGGCTTGGAGTTTTGTGCAGAGAGGTGAGACTTGGTTGAGGTAGAAATCGACATCCTTTTACCTGAGAGGAAACGTTAGTTTGCCTATACATATTCATTCTACCTATGAGTAGAACCTTGTAGTGTATGGAGAAAAATTGGGAAATAGACCAGTAGCCTGGCATAGCCTTGGAAGGAGAAATTGCCTGACTTTTATTATTCTGTAAATAGTGCAGTGCCAGCAAAAAAAATCTGAGTAAGAATTCTGCTAAGATGATAGAGAAAGTAAAAGTGTCAGATACTACCCCTGAGCCTCCTATAGAGGGGGAAAAAATCCAGTATCCAGAATTAAGGATAAGAATCTAGAAGAAGTTTCTACAATTGACCATATAGATGACATGGAACTAAGCAGCAGCAATAATATCTACCTACTGGGTCAGAACCATGAAAGGCTACCTGGCTAACCTTTAGCTTGGAAATAGCAAAAATCTCCTAGAGCAGCAGAACTGACCAGAGACTTAATAATCAGGAAGATAAGCAGAAATGGGTAGGAAGGCTGGCAGGCAGGCTGTCTGCACCTATCAAACCACCTACATGTTTGCAATCACTCACTAAATCATATGGCTCACTTTAAAACACAATGGAATACTACTCTAAATACAGGTCTGAAATTTCCTTTTTTCTCTTAACAACACGTTAACGAAAATCAATTACGTGAGTTCATAGAGATCTGAAAGAGAATACAGTTCGTTTGTATGAATAAATGCCCACCAATCAGGTGATATAATGGAGTAGCAGAGGCCAAACATGAGTCCAGTGAACAGGCCCTGTGGTTTCGTTTCACCTCTGTGTAACAGGGGCCATAGGATATCATGAGTAGCATGACTATAAGTTCAGTGAGTGTACTGAGTGACTAAGATATTTCGCTTTTTTCTAAGCACCTGACATAGCCCCTGATACTTAGTGGTACTCAAGAAATATTTGTTGACAGGTTGAATGAAATGAACATCAGACTGAGGTCCTTCCCAGGCTCCCTTGTATGAACTGGCACCATAGTTACCACACTTAAAAGTAAATGCATAGACTTCAATGTTTTATCAGAAAGAGAAATGAACTCAACAGTTTTATCAAGAATTTAGGGGGGAAAAATCCTCAGAAAATGGAATAAATTAACAATGATAAAAAGTAATACATGACATAAAAACTATAAAATCAGAGAGAATAACTGTTTCAACTTTTATTATTTGGAAGAAAAACACAGTAAAACAAACAAGTAAAAATAGAAACAGAAAAACATATTGCAAATAAGAGCAATTTTAAAAGTAGTGTTTTTATAGAGTGAATGCTAGTACTTTTAGAATACTGAAATGAGACAACTGTGTAGCAAACAAAACTGAAATAGAAAAAAAATTAAGGAAGAAATGAAAATGTTATTATAGAATTACATACTACAAAAGATTCTAGGCCCAGATGGTTTTTCTGTTGGAATATTTCAAAGTTTAAAGGCTAGATCATTTCATGATATTCTGGAATACAATAAGATGGAAAGCTGCTTAACTCATGTTACAAAGTAAATATAACCATAATAACAAGAGCTGATAAATATAGGACAAGAAGAAAAACCACAAACCAATCTCATTTATAAAGATGGATGCAAAAATCCTGAATACAATGATAATGAATAGAATTCATTTGTATATTTAAAAGATTAATCCACCATGAATATAAAAGGCTTAATGTTGGTTAACAGAAAGGTTCAGTATTAGCAAACCTATAATTTTAATTTGCTAAATAAGAAAAATCATTTTGCTCTAAGACAGCAAACTATAAAGGTAAATGTATACTGCCAACAAAAACACAGAAAATAACTATGAAAAGAAATTGTCTTAACATAATAAATAGCATCCAATCAGGCAAATAGCAAAATTACACCCATCCCTGCTGAAACAGAGATGAAAACAGAACTACTTCTTTTTATTACTGTTTAACCTTTTTTTTTTTTTTTTTTTTGCGGTACGCGGGCCTCTCACTGTTGTGGCCTCTCCCGTTGTGGAGCACAGGCTCCGGACGCGCAGGCTCAGCGGCCATGGCTCACGGGCCCAGCCGCTCCGCGGCATGTGGGATCCTCCCGGATTGGGGCTCGAACCCGTGTCCCCTGCATTGGCAGGCGGACTCTCAACCACTGTGCCACCAGGGAAGCCCACTGTTTAACCTTTGTTTGGGAAGTTGTGACTAATGCTGTAAGGCCTAACACAGAAATAAAATCAAAAGAAGAGACACTATTGTTATCGGTAGACATGATTAAATATCTAGAAAATCCCAGGAAATTAATAATTCTTGGAATTAAGGGAAATTGACTATTAAAAAATGAATACCATTCACGATCAAAAATACCTAGGAAAAAGCTAATTATCATAAATGTTCTTTCCAAATTAACTGATAGATCATTCCAACTGTAGTTTGGGGAATCACTCCCCCTCCCCAGTTCATTTGGAAAAATAAAGAGACAAAATTGGCAAAGAAAATACTGAAGAAACATCGACAAACCAATCTTATTATATATGAAAATTAAAGCAGGATTTCTTTCTTTCTTTCTTTCTTTTTTTTTTGTGGCCGAGCTACGTGGCTTGTGAGATCTTAGCTCCCCGACCAGGGATCGAACCCCGGCCCACAGCCGTGAAAGTGCCGAGTTCTAACCACTATACCGCCAGGGAAGTCCCTAAAGCACGATTTCTTACCCTTGGCACTACTGACCTCTTAAACTGGATACTTCTTTGTTGTGCGGGCTGTCCTGTGCACTGCAGGTTGTTAGCAATATTCCTGTCCCCTACTGACTAGAGGCCTCTAGCACCCCCCAACTCGAACAACAAAAAATGCCTCTAGACATTGCTGAATGTTCCTTGGGGGACAAAACTCGCCCTGGTTGAGAATCACTGATTATAAAGTGCCAACCATTAAGACTGGAGCACTAGCATAAGAAGTTAATGGGATGAACCTAGAGATTATCATACTAAGTGAAGTTAGACAGAGAAAGACAAATATATGATATCACTCACATGTGGAATCTAATTTAAAAAAAGATACAAATGAACTTATTTACAAAACAGAAACAGACTTACAGAAATCGCAAACAAACTTATGGGGAAGGGGAAATGGGGAAATGTTGGGGGGAGGGATAAATCAGGAGCTTGAGATGAACACACACACACTACTATATATGACGGATAACCAACAAGGACCTACTGTATAGCATAGGGAACTCTACTCAATATTCTGTGATAACCTATATGAGAAAAGAATCTAAAAAACAATGAATATATGTATAGGTATAACTGAATCACTTTGCTGTACACCTGAAACTAACATAACATTGTAAATCAACTGTACTCCAATAAAATTAAAATATAATAAAATAAAATAAAAAGTTAATGGGAAACAATACTTTTTAAAGAAGGAGGTATCATATATAAATGGGGATGAAGAAGACTTATTCAATAAACCTGGGTCAACAAATAAACAATCTGGTGGAGAAACAAATTTGAATATTTCATATGATATCTAAAAGAGACTTCAATTTGACTGAAGAGTTAAATATAATTTTAAAAGTCAAATCATAAAGCTAGGAGAAAATATGACTGAATGTTAAGTTACTAGACTGGAAGAACTTTCTACAGTCAGAAACAATAGAAATCATAATGGGAAAAATGGACAGATTACAGAATTTTAAAAATACTGTATTTCAAAGAATAACAACTAAAAGGCAGACTGGTAAAATATCTAGCTCAAGAAATATCCAGCTAGATATAAATTATCTAGTTAGACTGGCTAGCTAGCTCAAGAAAATATTCTCAAATACATAAAAAAGGTATAAATATGAAGATATTCATTATAACATTATTTAGGAAAGCAAAAAAGCTGGAAACAACATATGCATCAGGTCATAGGGTAACAGTTAAATAAACTGTCATACCAACTTTAAAGAATATCATGTAGCCATTAGAAATGGTAATTATGAAGACTAATAAAACACAACAATATATCTAGGATATGGTAAGTGAAAAAAGTAAACAATGTGTACCTGTCACACAATTACAACTATATACAATATGTATATGTACAAAACTGGTTGGTTATAAAGCCTGAACAAAAATGTCAATTGAAAAAGTATCAGGACATAACAATGTTACATGCAGTGTAACAAAGCTATATAGAAAATATATAAATAGAGATGAGGAAAAGGCTAGAAGAAAATACACCACATACTAAAAAGACTAAACACCAGATGTGTAATTGAGGTCATAATTTTTTTAAGTATTTAGAGGAAGAATCATGAGAGCATATATACCAGCAGAGAAAAGAAACCAGTGTGAAAGAAATATTGAAGATATAAAATAACAGGAAATAAGCTGGGACAAAGTGAGAGGGTGGCATGGACTTATATATACTACCAAATACTACCCAGATAGCTAGTGGGAAGTAGCCGCATAGCACAGGGAGATCAGCTCGGTGCTCTGTGACCACCTAGAGGGGTGGGATAGGGAGGGTGGGAGGGAGACGCAAGAGGGAGATAATATGGGGATATATGTGTATGTATAGCTGATTCACTTTGTTATAAAGCAGAAACTAACACACCACTGTAAAGCAATTATACTCCAATAAAGACGTTAAATAAATAAAATACAGGAAATAAATGATGGAATAAGACAGAGGAACCTACAGAAAGGGAGAAGATTCAGATGGTAGGTTTCAGTCTTAAAAGAAAGAAAAGGCACTACCTTACTCTGGTGCAGAAGGGAAGGAAAAAAGAATAGGTAAAATTTTGATGTGTAGAAGGTGTAAGCCCAAAGGCACATGCACTATGATTTTTAGCCATGTGAGACTGTTTATAAGCAGCATGATTATCAAGTATGGGTAAATGTGGCCATGCCTCTTCTGTAGAGTGTTTGGTTTACTAAAAGTCAATAAAAAGATTTCTATGAATATTAAAACAGAAGTAAGCATTATACAATATTGAATGGCTGCACAATAATGGAAATAAAAAGTGGAATGTACATATTGGGCTTCATCTTAAAAAAGTCCTCATAGAGAAAAATTCTAAGGGGATTCAGGTGCTAAATATTTGTTAAGTACTTTCTGCTGGTATATTAGACATGTGTTTACTCAGTCATTTAATGAAATAACTGTTGTTTTATCTAGAAACATGATAAAGATTTAAGAAGAAATGCTCACCAAAGAAAGGCACACATGGTGGATTAATAGACCTGAGTTTTGCCAAATATTTCTTATAGTGATCTTCACTTAGTTCATGAGCTTCTTCTAAAATTTTCTTTTGGCGACTTGGTATTTGCTACAATAAAAAAAATAATGTTTAGGGAATATAAGTTTACAAAGGGAATCACAGGTTTTGCCAAAAAAATGCCAGGCTTAGAGTAAAGCCCAAACACAACAGTATCAGTTTGATTCTAAGAATGATAATACTGCTTCAAAGAGACTATCTTCATAGACCCTAGTACAAACTTAAAGAAAAAGTGTGTGTGTGTGACAGAAATCTATCTTATCTTGCCATTCCTCAAACAAGTATGTGAGCATTTAGTTGTACATTATATTACAAATAAGGTGCTGAAATCTTTTTATTCTTCTAACTTAGGCTAGGACCTGTGAATACATTTTAATGAGACTGCCTAATTTACAAAGAGCAACCAATTCAATACAAAATTTAGGTAATTCCATCATTTCAGCTGTTACTGAAAAGACAGATGAGGCATGTAAAAATTAAAGGTCATAATTGTTAACATCCTGATTCCTAGGAACAGGGAATGGAAAAAACACCTTTAGATAAGCAAACCTACCTCAAACGTGTGGTCTAGTCTGTATACAGGTGATGAGTTCATAGCACTGACAACCTCAAGGACACCATTGAAGTTGTTCAGCTCTTGAAAGACTTGCAGAATCTCAATTATTCGACTCACCACAGCTACTCTTTCTTCTAAGTTTTCAGTTTCTACAATACATCTGGGAATCAAAGACAAAAAGTGAATTAAAAAATTTGGAGTTTTCCCAACGAAGATATGATTTAAAGAATTTAGCAAACAAAATGGAATGGAGGGCAGCTATAGTGTAACAGTAGAGAATACGTATTCAGAATGGCAGGTAAATAGTAGGTGAATGGAAGAGAAGGCAATGCCTTCAGTCAGGCATGCTGCTTGTCACTGTTTTCCAGACTGATACAGTCAACCGGTCAGTCATTCTTCCTATTATATTTGGTGCATTCTCTCTCAGTATTGGATTTCTCTGATCCGTCTATCATCTTGTTGAATATATGCTGGTCTTTAGGATGTGGGTGTGTTCTAGGGAAACTTATTCTCAAATTTAAGAATTCTCTGCCTCTTATTCTTCATCTTATTGTAAGATTTTAGTGATTAATGCTTAATTTCTTTCTTTGACATACAGAAATAATTACCTACATTTCTAAGAACAGCTCTTTAGATAAGCACTATAATGTTAAAAAGTGAATGAAAGTATTTTACTACCATTCAGAATAAAAAAAATTTAATTACTTAGAAAGAATAAAAAAGTCAATGAAAACAAAAGCTCTTTACATTTAAATACCAAGAATCCTTGGAAAGTACATATATATCCAAGTAAACAGCTAAAAGTAAGCTATGCTCAAAAAAGAATTCCTCAGTGAGCATTTCTTCTCTTTCTAGTATTTGAGAAAAATTTTTATTTACTAATCACTTATCAGTAAAGAAAATATTTTAAACTTGGTTTTCTATAACGTGATAGTAAACAACTCAATCTAAGAAAAAATAAAATACACATATGGAAAAAATAAATATAAATCAATATTAAACATTAACAAAAATGTAAAGTTGTGGATTACACTATTCTCTGGTGAGGCTGATCTAACACTGAAAAAAAAAAACACTGCAAAACTATCAAAATAAATTTGCCTTATTATCAAATTAAACATAACATGTTTATGCATTAAAGCATTAGATGTCTACAAATCATATACCAGCTAACTAGTTATCTAGACATTTTAAAAGGTATGATACAAGTATAATATGTTTACGTCTTTTTTTTAACTCAGTTGATATTAACTAGGTGTACACAATGAGATCACCTGTGGAGCTTTTATAAAAACTAGGTAAGTCTGGGATGATTTATCCAGAAGTGACTTCAATTCTAATGCACATCTATGACTAAAAACCACTGTGGCAAATGAACAAGAACCTCTTCCACTGAAAAGGCAGGAACTGGAACCCTTGGACAGTGTTAATGGTGAGAATGCAAAATGATGTAGCCACTATGGAAAACAGTATGGAGGCTCCTCAAAAAAAATTAAAAATAGAACTATCATATGATCAGCAATCCCACTTCTAGGTATTTATCCAAAAGTACTGTAATCTCAAAGAGATAGTAGCACTCCCATGTTCATTGCAGCGCTATTCACAATAGCCAAATGTGGAAACAACCTAAATGTCCATCTACAAATGAAAGGATAAAGAAAATGAGAAATATATGTACCATAGAATATTATTCAGTCAAAAAAAGAAGGAAATCTTGCAATATGTGACAACATGGATGAGGACATTATGCTAAGTGAAATAGGCCAGTCGTAGAAGGACAAATACTGCATGATTCTACATATATGAGGTATCTAAAATAGTCAGACTCATAGAAGCAAAGAACAAAATGATGGTTGCCAGGGGCTGGGGGAGGGGAAATGGGGAGTTGCTAATCAACATGTATAAATGTTCATGTTGATTAGCACTTATTTACACAAGATAAATAAATTCTAGAGATCTGCTGCACATTATGCCTATAGATAATAATACTGTATTTGTACACTGAAAAAAATCTTAGCACAATTAAAAAAAGCAAAAAGAGAAAGGAAAAAGATCAGGAAATGGCCGCTTTCTCAGTAATCTATTAAAAAATAGGACAGAAATGAAAATGGTCTGTATGTCTTATGAGTTATGTTTCCTCTTTATAGACATCACTTTTAATTATTAATGATGGAAAAGCGCTTCTGCAACTGAAGTGTAGTTATTTGACTTGATAAAGAAGAAATCAGGAAGCAACAGTTAGCGGGCAAATTCCAAAGTTTTACTTTTTAGAGGTTAAGAAGTAATAACATAAACAGAAGGAAGTCCTAACTTTCAGATGACTTATTTCTCGTTAGGAATTGCTTTCTGGTCTTTATCCACACTCTAGCTCACATTCCAGTCATTCCTTTATGTCACTGGTCTTGTGTTCTGTTATGCCAATATGATCTGTGGCAACTTCATATCACCCTTATAAAATATGGGTCAAGATCATAAAAAATATGGCCAATACATAAAACTCTAATATCTGGCTCCAATTATAAAACTGTATTGAGATTCTGGACTTTTGACATGACAGTGTAAGAAGTTCTGTTTACTTACTCCTCAGGGAAACTGGTGAAAATTATATATATAATTATATATATAAAGTTCTAGCAGTCTCTGGAAATGGCCCTAAGAGCAAATGGCAAATAAAGAAACATCTACTGGGACTTCTCTGGTGGTGCAGCGGTTAAGAATCCGCCTGCCAATGCAGGGAACACGGGTTCGATCCCCGGTCCGGGAAGATCCCACATGCTGCAGAGCAACTAAGCCCGTGTGCCACAGCTACTGAGCCTGTGCTCTAGAGCCTGTGAGCCACAACTACTGTGCCCACGTGCCACAACTAGTGAAGCTTGCGTGCCTAGAGCCCATGTTCCACAACAAGAGAAGCCACCACAATGAAGAGTAGCCCCCATTCGCTGCAGCTAGAGAAAGTCTGCGTGCAGCAACGAAGACCCAATGCGGCCAAAAATAAACAAACAAACAAATAAATAAATAAATTTTTAAAAAGACAGAGAAACATCTATTCAGGAAAATGTACAATTCAGTAAGAGAGGCAAGAGTTTGTGGTATCTGAACCAAGACTTCCTCTACCCTCATTTCTCAGAGAACGTTGTGGGGTTGGGTAGGGTGGGGGGCAGTTAGCCCAGATAGCCAAGAACACAGGGCTCCCTACCCCTCTGACCTCTAAAATGTCAGGCTTCACTGGGGGAAAACACAGGCAACAGTAAACTGCCTGCAAGACAGACCTGATATGTCAGATTTAACAAAAAAAGATTTCAAAGTAGCCATTCTGAATTTGTTCACAGAACTAAAGGAAAGTATATTTAAAAAGTAAAGGGGGGTATGATTACAATGTGCACCAATAGGGAGTATACTAAAAAAACACAGGAATTATAAAAGAAACCAAATGGAAACTCTGGATTTGAAAAGTACAATAGTTAAAATAAAAATTTTACTAGAGGGACTCAATAGTCAATTTGAACTGGCAGAAGAAAAAAATAGTTAAACTTGAAGACAGAGGTATTGTTTAAAAAATGAAGGCAAAATAAAGACCTTCCCATATAAACAAAAACTAAGAGAATCTGTTGCTAGCAGACCCACCGTACAAGAAATTGTACCGCAGGTTCTTCAAGCTGAAAGCAAGTGACCCCAGATGGTAATATGAATCCACACAAAGAGCACTGGTAAAGGTAATTATATGATCATAAAAAACACTATAAATGCCTATTTTTTTGCTTATTGCTTTTAACTGATTTAAAAAGCAATTGTATAAAATAATGTGTATGTAATATATTGTTGGGCCTATAACATAGAGAAATGTAATGTATGTGAAATACATTGCCAGTAACTACACAAAGAGTGGGTGAGAGCAAAGCTGTAACAGGCTAAGAAAATAATGGCAAATGGTAGTAAAGCAATAATTATAACAATGTACTGTTAGATCTACATCGTTAATTATATGTAATACCACAAAAGGGAGGGAGTGAATAGAGCCACAGAGGAGTAACATTTCTACATATCACTAGAATTCTGGTATAAATCTGAAGCTAATTCTGTTATGATGTATGTGGCAAACCTAAAAACAATCATTAATAAAGTAACTTAAAATGCTGCATTAGAAAATTATTCACTCAGTGCAAAAGAAAGGAGGAACAGAGGAACAACAAAAAAGACATGAGACAAATAGAATTGCAGTGAAATTTATAACTGTTATGAAATGTAAGAAGATCGGTAATACTTACTTCTCAAACCACAGAGTGAGATTAGTGGTATGCCGGATCATTTTCAGAAGATTAGGAGAATTAATTTCTTTGTCTTCCTTTGTCCACACACTTCCAACTAATTCTGATGGCTGTACAGCTCTAAAATCATAAAGACATAATTCTATGTGATACTTTTCCCTCTAGTATACTGTTTTATTAAGTAAATGAGATAAAAGGTTTATGAAAACAAGAACAAAAACATTATAATTTTGCATCTTTTTCTACAGATTTAAAAACACTTTGTATGCATGTACCTGTGTACTTTTTTTTTTCACTGCTTTATAGTAGCATTTTGCTTTGGGCAAGGTTGGGATTTCTTCATAGTATCTTTCCCAGCACTTATAAATATTATCTAACAAATTAGGGTGAGAAAGTAGTTTGGGATAATTCTTTTAAATAAATGATAATGTTATAATAATCAGTCCAATGAGGGTATAATAATCACTGTATTCATAAATCTTTTTTTTTCTTTCCCCTCCTAAAGGAGGGGGAAAAAACCCTCCTGGGAAGGGTACTGGGAAAGAAATAAAATACATTCTAATACTGATTTTGGGAACAGTGATGATTTTTGGTGGGAGATCTATAAATTTAGTTCCTTTTTTCATTTAGTTTTTACAAAATTAAATAGTTTGAAATCTAAATAGTCCAAGTTTAAAACCAGAAACAGACATTTTTTTGAGATAGTAATTATATCAATGTAGGAAAACTATAAAAGGCTAAATGGCAATGACTTAAGTTCTCAATGACAATGGCAGTAGCTAACGCATTGAGCCCTTACTCTGTGCTGGGCAATGTGCTACGTGCTGTAAATATATGGACTATTTTAAACCTTGCACGACAGCTCCAGGAGTAGGTACCATCATTAGCCCCATTTTACTCTTGAGGAAACTAAGCAGCAGAGGGATAAAAGTTACACCAGAAGGTTAAAGTTACCCAAGGATACCAAGCCAACAATTGGTAAAGCCAGGATCTGAACTTAACTTTACCAACTAGGGGTGACTGCAGAAAGAGAGAGGCTGTAAATCCAGATAGAGCAAAGAGGATGAGGGAGTGAAAGAGGAGCCTTCCATACATCAGGCCTTATTACAAGACACTTCATGTACTATCTCATTTATGTCTTATAACAATCCTACATGGCAGAAATCAGCATTTCATTTTAAAAGTTAACTCATTTGAAAGGATTTTTCAGCTTGAACATCAAATTACATACCGATATAGATCTGATTCAAGTAAAGTGAGTTGTCGAGCAATTTCTATTGGGTGTAAGGTGAGCAGGTCAAAAGTCTCTATGTGCCCAGGTCTGCTTATATGCCACTCAACTGTAGGGGGTGAACTCTGAAATGTAATATTATGACCTGGTCCATTGTCTCTTGCAATTTTTTTCCTTTGGATTATTTTAGTGATGGATTCAACCCACTTTTTCATTGCTTTACCTGAAATAACATTACATTAAAAATAACATTTTAGTCAATATTTTATTTTTAAAAAATAGTTTAAAATCGTATAAGTGATACCTGAATATATCTTTGCTATAAAAAGTTCAAATGATCAAAATTAAAAAATGAAGTTCCCTTTTACCGTTTCCCTATTCCGTATCCCAATCTCAGTTTTCTTCAAGTGGATAACCACTGTTAATAGTTTGGTATATATTCTTTCACATCCTTTTTAAATAAGAGAAAGTAATTTATTTGTAGAAACTTTTCACCTCTATTGTTCTAAACTTCAGTTCAAAATATTATTTTATAATCCTCTCCAAAAAAGATATATCTTGCACAAATAAAATTTATAATGATAGAACATACAACATTAGCTGTTAATCTAACAAACTTTGCATTTTATAAACCAAACAGTGCAGAGGACTCCTTCATTTTGTATGAGCTTTTGATGTGGCTTTGTTCTGTACTATGCATGAAAGTACTATTATTTAACCCTTTATTTTTTGATTCTCATTTAAAGTGTATGATGGAAATAGAAACAAGTTTGTCTAGACCTATACAATCAAAGTATCTTTAAAACTAGACGGGGAACTGGAGATCATCAAGCCTAGCTCCTCATGTTACTGAAAAGGAAACTGAAGTCTAAAGAATCAAAATGATTTTGCCAGAGTCATTTATCTAATGAGTGGCAGTGTTTGGAAGAGAACTCTTGTTTCTTGGCTCTCAGGTTCAGTATGCTCTGCTGCCTCTCTGATATGTTATGCACTATACACCTAATTGTGTCCCCAGTCAACCTCCATCGTGGTGTTATAATGGCACAACAGTTCCTAATTGTCCTTTGGTACACATATTTTCAGTGTTAAGACAGCATAAATTGAGACTTTTTCTATTCCAAAATATCAGTAAGTTGATTTACTAAATGAAAATTCATTGGATCAACAGGATGATTATTAAACAATTTGTAGGTCAAAAATGGCAAAAAATTTTAACTTTTCCAGTTGGTTATGTTGGCATTATTACGAATACCTCTTAACTACACTGAGCAGTAGTGATGTCAGTTGATAGTCACCACATTGGTACTTTTATTACACATAAAACTAAGGCACTTAAAAAAAAATACCTCTTACTGTTCCAATAAATTCCTCCATTCGCTGCAACAGATCTGCATCTCTTTCAAAATCGTAGAAGTGGTGCTCTACCCAGTGCCGACATACGTTTAATACTCTATGGCATTAACACAGAAGAAGAATCGAATTACATGGGAACTCGGACATAAACATTTATCACAATGAGTGGTATAAATGAAAACAGAGTAACTCTTACCAAATTAAATACAGCTGACCCTTGAATAACAGGGTGTGAACTGCATGGCTCCACTTATACTTGGATTTTTTTTTTTTCCACTAAATCTATACCACAGTACTACACCCTAGGCAGGTGGTTCAATCTGTGGATGCAGAACCACAGATTCAGAGGGCTGACTGTGGATTTTCTACTGTGCCAAGGGTCAGTGTCCTTAACCCCCACGTTGTTCAAGGGTCAACTTTAATCTTGTAAGTGGCTTACCACTTTCAAAATTCTATGTTAATTAAGACTTATACAGTAATTGCTGATAATTCCTCTTTACTTCACTCATTTTACATGTTACTTCCTCCTTGCTTGGGAAACATCCTTATTTAACTCTGAAACAAAAATTCAACAAAAGCTTATTTACTTCAGTTATTTATTTAATGCTTACCGCAGTTGTACAGGCTGTATATATTCTTTTCTAAACCTTTTTAGTTCTGCACTCAAGGGCTGATCTCCATTCTCTATAGCTATGCGATCAGCTTCTGTTGGCTCAGGCTCTGGAATTTCAAACCTAACATAAAACAGAACAAACTAATGAAAAGGTCAATGATATCAAATTATGCAAACAGAAAACTACAAATCTTTTCACTAGTCAGCACAATCAAGAGAGCACTGTAAAAAATACTAAGGATATACACATCAGTGAAAACAAGTGAGGATTCTATAATGTAAAAACTAATGATTTAATTTTTTAAGGAGAAATTAATACTTGCCAATATAAATAAAACCAACTAGAAACATAATAAAGAACACATGCAAAGTCTAAAAATAAGTGTGATTATAAAGTTAAGGGGATGATATTCATTTCTGGCTTGTGTCATTACTCTAAATCCGCCAACATAAAACTTTTTAAGGGTAAGTTCTGAAAAGCTGACTGCTCTTTGGGTACATGAAACACTTTTCTTGATTACAGTACTTGTTTACTCTATTTTCCTCAACATGAGGTGTATTTGAAAAATTCTGTTTAGAACAATTAAATCATTAAAATTTGAATTTCCAGAGCCTACACTCTACATTTTTATAGTCTTTAACTTGATTAATTCTGTAAATTTGAAATTTCACATACTGAGTTTCCATGTAAAAAAGTCTGCCTATTTTTGTATTTAAATAATCAAAGCTAACATATTATAAAATAAATGGTCATCCAAGAGATTTTCTTCTTAAAGTATTCATGAACGACACCTTAAAGCTCATTCAATATATTTCCGTATCTTAGCTCAATCTCATTAAAAAAAAAGAACAAAGAATTTAAACACTTTAAATTGACAGACCTTTCTATTATAAGACTCAGTAGTTCTTGAGGCTTACAGAAGGATCTATATGTTGTAAGAAATGTCCGAACAAAATTGGGATCTATGAAGAAAAAGGAAAAATACCTTATTAAAATCTTTTATTCAGAATGATTAAAACTATTATTTACATTTTCAAAAGAGATTAAATAGTCAATTTTAAAAGTCCCAAAATGTTTTGACCACACAGAATGCTTTGGACTTTGAAATCAACTGCTAACTTTAGTTTCTTCCTAAATTAGTGGTAAAATCATTGATACTAAAATTTTACATCAACTTATTTCTTGACCTCTGCACACTCTGACTAGCTGATATTAAACGCATTATTGGCCACAGGAATACAAAGGGAAGAAAGGCAGAGCATAAAAGCAAGCTTCCATGTGCTACATGGATCTGAGAACATCACCAGTTGGTTTATCTCCCTTGTAAACAGAAAGGCCACAGCAATAACCCATTACTTTTCCTGCTCTTCAGACTAGTTTATCTGGATTAGTTATCTGGATTTCCTTAAATCATGTTAATAGAGCATACAACTGGAAACTGGATCTTACAATGTTGTAGATTAAGTTAAATAGTTTCTAAATTGTTTTATGTGCTAAAAGTCATAATTAAAACTGCTAAAATATGCTTATAAATACCTGTAAGTTATTAAAACTATTAAATGTGTAAGAATATGTTGATTTGGCTCTATTCACAACTTTTAATTACTTTCATTGCAAGTAGACGCAATGAGAGTTCAATCATAAGAGCGGGAGTCTTCAACCCCTTCCATGAAAGGATTTGCTTTTCATTCATACTTCATGAAGTAAAGCAGGAAGCTGACTGAGTGTGATCACCTCTCCAGACCTGCCTACTTGAGTCTCTCCTTGACAGTATTCTCCCAGAGTTGTGGAGAAAGGCTGCTGTCATCAGCACAAGAGACCTGGGCTATCATCTGCATAACTGGAGTTGGGGGTGGTGGGAGACATCTTCCCATAATGGGGAATAAAAAAAACACTCACCACTCACTGTAACTCAAATTTCATCAAGGTCCACATTTAGTTGTAAGAGTCTTTAAAAAGGAGGAGGGGAGAATTCATTAACTTGAGTTTTTTTATTGGGAGTATCCTTTTCCTGCTTCACATCACTAAGGAATGGTAAGCTCTAATTTAATGATAAATTTATTGAGAGCAGCAACTACCTTTATTTTTGTTAGGCTACACACTATGGATTCTTTAGAAGAAATACAATGTCTGTTATTAGCATAGGATTTAGCAAGAATCAAATTCATTTGCATGGAAAATCTCTATTTAGTCTGATTCTGTCTGATTAAGAATCACCCTAAATTGAGCCTTAAAATAAAATAACTATGTTAACTTCCCCCCCCCACCGGCCAAAATCAAACTCATGGATTTATCATAAAATAGAAATCTATTTCCAATCTATTGGTATATGTGGTCATCAAGATAATGAATTGATTTAAATATCAGACAACCTTGAATTTAAGATTATAATAAATTTTTAAGTTAAAGAAAATTTACATAATAAAAATATATTGGTTTTAAATGGCCCTCTTCTCCTTTAGCTTCATACCTTCTGAGGCTAGAGTGGGTTACTGATAAAAGTGATTTAAATAGATACAATCCTTTAGTAATTTCCTCTTTGTTGGTATTTTATTGTTTGTCTTCAGTTACAGAGTTCCTCAAACGTTAAAGACTAATGTCTCAACCAGAAGAAAAGATTTTAAAACAGAAGGCTGTACAAGATTTTAAAACAGAGATTTATATCGGTTTCATCACAATCCTCCCTTTCAAGAATCTTCTTCCTGTTCTGCAAATCTATATGTAAAGGTGAGGCTACTCAAAACATCATGTACTTAGGAAGCAAAAGCAGTGGCCACTGTAGAGATGCTGAGCTGTCACTGTTGGAGAGGCCAGACCCTTAGTACAGAGTGCTCCAAATATCCCTGAGCTGTGTTCCAAAATTAAGGGTAACCTCTCCCTTTTTTAAAAGAAAAGTTTATTTTAGTCTAAAAGTCTAAAATCAATATCCAGACCCATTTCTTCTCAAATGCCACCTAAGTCAGGCTAAAAAGTTGTGGGATATCAAAGATACTTTTAAGTTGAAAAACAATAAAAGCAAGTTCTAAGTGAATTAAAGTATGTTTTAAGAAAACTGGCTATTTTTAAAGGCAAACTATTTTAAAACAGCCTTTTCATCTTATACCAAAACTTCTGGCCATTTCAATGCTTTACTAACTGATGACAATGCTGGGAAAGTCATGATGTGCCTCAGTGCCACATCAGTCAAAAGGGATCACATCAATTCCTGATGTCTGTTACGTAATGAATTCAAAGAGCATTCACATAATTCATTCCATATGATTTCTGTGAAGTGAGCAGGGCGGCTGCTGTTTTTCCTTTTCTACATATGACAGAAGTAACTAAGAGTTATCTAAAGTCACACAATAGAGTGAAAGAGATGGAACCAGAATCTAGATCGTGTGATTTCTGATTTACTGCTTTTTTCTGCCATATCACCTGACCTCCCTGGATTGAAGGATCTGTTAAGGTTTCCAAAGCTGTGAGATCTAAATATAAAGAATGAGTCCATGAGTTACATAATCACTGTAGAAATTTACATAAATGATTAATTCAGAATGAAGCTGTAAACTGCTAATCTTGGTTAAAGGCACTAAAGTCATTGAGAAATTAGCAGTCTAATTGTGATTCTGTAATTCTTGTTAAGCCTTCTTCCAGATTTTAGGAAGTAGCAGCTGTACCTTCCTGTACACTATTCAGAAGAGGAGTTTCTGAAGCTGGCGGTGCAATAAACACTCCCACAGTCATCACCGTTGTATTAACTTCTAAAGTGACTCAAGTTTAAGTTGTTTTTAGCTTGATTAGAAATTAGAGCGGTCTTGCCAACAGAAAAAACCAGCAGAAGCTAAAAATAAACCAAGAAAAATTGGCAAGAGTTTAAGTACTTTCAAAAAACATCTTAAAGGCTGCATATATTCCCAGGCTTGTATTAATTTAGGCTCTATTTCTAGTTTCTAAAGCAGTGGGAAATTGCTAATGAATGAAAAACTTATATTGAGAGGACATAACATCTATATTTGAAATTTTGCAAAGAATTCCATATTCCAGAAGCTATTTTTATTTCTATTGATTTCCCCATTTCAGTGATAGTGGCACGTATAATGTCACACTAACCACTGGAAACCTTTATCTTATTGATGATACAAAGGACTAAGATAATTAGATATTTTAAAAGTACCCGTCAATAAGGACAGGTTATATAATTTTGCAGGAAAACAAAGTACCTACTTACATTTATCAGACAATGATAATAGCTAAGTTTTACACTGCCTCTGTTATCCACCTGTATTATAAAGTGATGTTTCAGAGACAGATGGAAGGCAAATGCGTTAAAAATATAAAAGCCAGGCTAATTTGGTTTTAAAACGTAAGCACAAATATTTGTGGAGAAAATGAAAATCAACGATTTCGATATTCTCCTCTTTCTGTTTATCGCTAGTGGATGTTAATTCCACAAACCTCTTTCTCAAACACAACCCCTAATGGATTTCAATATGAGCAATGGCAAAAACATCCTCTGTGGTTTTTCTTCTTCACCATTTTAGGTAACACTCTTTTCTACTCTCAAAGCCCTGGACTCAGATGTCCACCATGTTCACTAGCTGCTCCACCTCCGTCTACCCAACCTCTCTGTGTGTACACGTACCTGCCAACTCTACCATCAAGTCCCCGGTCTCAGCCCAGGCTATTTCAAATATGAGCCATGTTTTCTGTTTTCTGCTGGCCTTCTAGCTGCCTGTCTCCCTCATTCTAAAGCTATTTTCTTTGATAATATTTTATTGTACAATTCTTCAAAATCTTAGGAAATCAGAGTATATTTACATTAATGTTCAGAATACAGCATACTAGATTTGAGGTGATAAATTTAATCCTTTTTTAACACATTTTTATTGGCAAGGTCAATAAATCTATGAAATATTTGTTACATAGAGAGTTATTTATGTAAGTACCCCTCCCCCAACCACCATAGTGAAACACCGTCAATCAGGATGTCTGTTCATGTGATAATTCTCCCTTTAATACAGCCATTTAAAACGCTACAAGAAACAATAAGCTCCTCAACAAGGATTTATAAACAATCACTCTTGAATTCCTTAAAAAAGGAAACAGACGCTATGCTGACGCACACACACTTAAAAAAAAAAAAATCAGAGAGTTTAAAAATAGAACAGCACTGCCCTATAGATCAAAAATTTGTTCAAAAGATTTTTTTTAAAAGTTAAAACACCCGAACTGAGCTTATACAGGACACAAACTCCAAAGAAATCTAATGCAGTTTTTTGCAAATTTTCTATATGAGGGCATAAAATAGCAGTAAATACTTTAAAGAAAAATATCAATTGGCTTAAATTTTTTCAATACCATTTTCTTTAAAAGAGAAATTCACCATGCATGGGAAACACCTTTTCCCCACAATTCAGTATGAAAAGCTTTTATTTCCATATAATGTCAGTTCTGAAAGACCCCTACCGCAAAGTCATCTCATTTCTCTAAGAGAGACTATCAAAACCAGACATACCATATTTCTTCACCCATGTTGTTTTAAAGTCTCAATAATTAATTTGTACTAAATTATTTCCTATAACTCTGTAACAGAAGTGAAATTCCTACTTTCATCTTCTGCTTTTTATGTATATTGCTTTGTGCTTTCTTACTGTAGGTAAAAGTCTCTTCACATCCTTACCAGATGCAGAATGATCCACCTAACTAGACAATTTCCCCCCACACCATTTCAGATGAATTCTGAAGGTCTGATGTAGTTAACTAATTATTGTATGTCCAGAAACACTGGACCTGAGGCACTATAAATTAGATCCCACATAAAACCCTGTCACAATTCTTTTGAGCAACAGTTAAGCACCTTCTAATTCACCTAAATTTACAGAGCAAACCCCACCAACAGACTGACTGGATTTTGTTAAAAACTAAAATTATAATGACCAACATCTAAATATAAACTAAAATCTATGCATTAAAATAGAAGTTATCTATAGTCAGAATTTATTACCTATTTCAATAAGAAAAATAACAGTACTCTGACTATATCTTAATGGTAGACCTGTCCCAGAAGTGAACAAGCTGTTTATATTACTGGCAATTCAAACCAAGCAAGTAATTCTCTTTGTTTTTACTATTCAATATACATAGTAAAAATTATATTCTAAAAATGAAAAAATTCATGAGTCAGTGTAACATGGTAGAAAGTATACTCTATTTCAAGAGTCAAGAAACCTAATTTCTAGTCCTCTTTCTGCAATTAACTGATATGATTTCTGGCAAATCACAAACTTCAGGGGCCTTGGGTTTTGGTCTATAAAGTGAAGGATTGATCATCTAAGATCTATAGCTGTGTTTCATAAATTACTGTTAAAACACTTGAGTGATCAAGCTGGTTGAAGCCACAATGAAGTCTGAATTAAGTAAGGTTAAACAAGTTTTCTGTTTTTTATGATAATGTCTGAAAGTAGTGCTTATTAGTTACTGGATTTTTCTTATTTATTACAGCCAATGTCTTTTATTATAATTCTATACAATGTAATAAAAATATGCAAGTTAAACTTTAGTTTTTGTTTCAGTGTAAGCCACAACTTGCACTGTATGTTCTCTGATAAAATACCTATCAACCAACTGAACCAAAATTAAATAGAGCAGACCAACAGTTCTTTAAACAAATAGCCGATCTATTATCATTGTAGTGAGGACCAAGAGTCCATCTGAGCTGGAAAAGACCTTAAAAAATAGCTGCTTTCATGTTTTACAAGTTCATACATGGTCTATTAAAAACACATTCTATATTGCCAGTAATACATTCAGTCACAGACCTTACAGAAGTCAAATAAGCTAATAATTAATACTTATTAATTTATTAGCCGTACCGTGTGTACGGTACGGATTTACCGTACCCTGTGTACGGTAAATCACAATTCATGAAAGCTGCTTATGGGTTTTAGTTACACTAGTAATATATTTATGACATAAATTAAAATATTCAATTAAGCTTCAAAATAAGATAGGAAAGAAATATGTCAAAAAACTTAGCTATAACACTTCTGAACCCAACAGTGGCTATTTATTCCTAAAGAAATTAATGAAAGGAATTTTTTAAAAAACTTTAACATTTAAAAAAATCTTGTCAATTTAAATTTGAATACACCTAACTTTGCAAAGTTCTATAAATTGTTTTATATTAACTAGAAATAAAACCATTTATTCTATTCAAAAGCTAAAAATTAATGTAAATGAGAGCAACTATCAAAAGTAACTAATAAAACACCATAGCAAAAGCACTGTGTCTACAGACATGGCTAGCATTGTGTACGTTAAGGAGAAAAGACTGCCAAGACTAAAGAAAAACTATCAAGCTATGCTTGTTCTAGTTTTGCTTGTTTTGAAGTTTCCTCATTCAAAAAATAAATAAAAGGTACAGTTCCCTGAAAAAAAAAATTTTTAATTGTAGTTCTGTAACTGCTTATTAATAATCATAAGTCAGTTCTGTGAAATAAAGCAAGCAGTAAAGAAAATTTTTATCATTAACAATAGGAGCTTTAGAGAAACAATTATATTAAAAATTTTGAAATTTGAAAATATTTTCCAAATCAAATACCACTGACTTGTGATACTAAACACTAGTAAGTCTTCTTTAGCACGTGCCACTTGTATTGCTCTACAGGAAAAAAAACCCACAAACTTCTGCCTCACATAGATAAGAATCTAAGGATTAATTCTACTCTAAATAGTCTAAGAACCCAAAACAAAGGTACTTAAAACAAAACGATGAATAGTTTAGAATGTTTATGATAAAAAGTTCTGTGAATCTTCCAAGACACAAAAATCAGAATAATGTGGCAAGAAGAATAACCTGAACGTTTATAACCTTAAAAATTCCTTCAGAAGTAGCAAAGAAATAACTATTTTGCAACTACAAATTTTTATGAATAAAAACATTTTTTAAATCTGTATTCTAGATCTTAAAGAAGCTGATGGTCATCAACTAAATAGATAGGTCATATTAATTACGGAAAATTGTACCTCTCAAAATAAGTTTCATATGTAAAAAAAGATGACAGAATAATCTATTTTTCATGTAGAACCCTCGGCAGCTTATTTAAATTTTCTGTACTTTGATTTGTTTTTTATTTTTGGGTCAGTAAAATGAATACATTGACTACAGAAGTTTCTAGGTGAAAAATCAATAGTAAAATTGGAATCCCAGAGTCGTCTTTCATTATATTCAACATGTTTCAGTTACTGCCTGCTACTACCAAATGGTATACACTTAAAGGGCCCAAACTGCTTTTAAAATTAGCCTATGGAAAACACTATTATTTCACTATGGAAAAGACTAGCAAAAGAACTATCAAATTCAACTGGTGCCAGAATAGTTTCCAGAGAAAACTGAGAACCCATTTGAAGGACTTTCAAAACTGGAGAAATTTCCTCAGAAACACACATATCCTAGAGATAGAAATATATTTAAGCAAAAAGTTTGGGGATGGAAGTTAACTTACACATTCAACTATTTAAGAATAGCACTCATAAGAGTTGTGTTTGATTTTATGTCTTTGTAATAAAAGCATTCTTTGAAAGTAAGTTTATACTTATAAAGAGCTTTCACGTATTTCATTTATTCTTTCCAACAATATTCTAAGACAGCTGCTGTGATGTTGATTTTTGAGATCAACCTTAGAAGACTAAGGTTCTAAAACCTTAAGGAACTGTGATAGAGTAAAGGTGTGAATCTAAATTCAGTGAGTGCTCTTTCCACAGTATTTTACAATCGTCAAACTTCCTACTATGTAGGGAAGTTGAAGAACACTGGATTATCATCTGTTACTTTATTAGAAGAAATAAAATTACTTTAAAAAAATCGATCATTATATTTGTTCCTTACTCTCAAACACTACATTTGATGCAGCCTATTTAAAGACAAACATGTCTCAACCCCCTAGGAATCCTCCAAACTCCTATGTTTGTCTCTAAAAATTGCCCTGCTAAGGTGAAATTGTTCTCTAAATAACATCAGTTGTAAAAAGCAAAAAAAAATTAAAACTTAAATGACTCCCAAGATTGCTAAATTTAACAAATTTTAGGAATGGAAATTAAGAAAAAGCAATGCTGTATATATAATGTACTACCAGCACAATTTTGGTAATGGATATCAATTAGAATTTTTACTGATTTTATAATCTCAGTAATGAAAAAGAAAGAAAAAAAAGAGGTAAAGGAGTAAAAAGATTTTTAGACCCTAATGATGATTGATTTATCACTACTTTTAGTCTTGTTTCTGCCACTGTCTAACTTGGTAAATTTAGCCCAGTAACTTTATTTATAACTCTGGTTGCAAAGTTAAAAGTAACATATGTAAATGTGGTAGAAAGATTATAAAATTTCAAAGAAATATAAAGTGACGGTATTTTTAGTCAAAGGAAAATCAACTCTGATAATGCGGAGGTCTTTTGCTGTCAGTTTGCTTTCTATTTTAGGCATAATGACCTGTGCAGCAAAGAAAAATCAGCTTGAAGCAGGAGAATAAAAGTGACAGGCAAGTTCATACTTCTTACCTGCGTACATATGGTATGTGAGCCTCTCTATAAGTTTAATAACAGTTCCTGCTTTGATAATTGGAATTCCAGCTTTGGGCTGCACGTTTTCTTCAAATATGATATTTTCTTCAGAGTCAGGCTCTGCAAATCTATAAACATCAGCACTAGGGAGCCTCATCTGCTCCTCCTTTTCTTCCTGTAGCATTGTCACATCAAGCATCCTTTCCAGTGTACTCCGGTACTGTAAAGATATCAATGCTGCCATCCAGTTGTTTTTCTCTTCAGCTGACTTGGCAGAAAATATAACGCTATTTTCATCTTTTAAAATTATTTCAAAAGCATGCTTGTACTCATTGGTGTCATCTTTGTCATTAATTTGTACCTTTCTCATAAAAAACTTTTCTTTAAGACGATATTCTGCATTGCTAGCACCAGGAAGTCTTGGCTGCCCATGATTTGATTTACAGCAAATCATTAAGCCATCAAAGAGAAATATGTGTCTCTCATGTTTGGCTCCTACACGTGTAAGAGTTCCTTCCATTATAAACTCATTGCAACACTGTCCAATGTCTTTTCCCTCCCAACCATCAATATTCTTCTGAATCTCGTTCATTTTCTTGATTGCTAGTTGTTTCCCCTTCATTTGCTGACTATAAAACCGACATGCAGATTCACTAGGATAAAGGAAAAAACATGGTTAGTACAAAGATGACAGGGAATCTACAATTCATGTAAATAAATGACAGTGCAAAAGTATATTTTAAAAAGTTGCACTGAGAAGGTTTTCACTATTTCTCCAAATATATTAGTGTTACAAAATTGCACAGTTTTGGAAACTAAAGCAACACAGTGGAGACATTTTTTTAGTGCTCTAAAAAGAACAACTGACTATTGACAAAATTCTACCCTATAAATTTAGCTACAGAATGATTATTTCTACCATGGCTATGAAATATTTAGAATGACAAGTATTAAAAAGTAGCCCAATATAGTGAAAGAAAAGAAAGATTAAAAAATTTATCTAGAAATGCTTAAGTAGATAATACCTAAAGCCAAAAACCACGTATATATTATAATTAGGAAACTGGAAGCATATTATCTGAATTAATGCCTTGAGTTACATAATCCCTAAAATAAAAGACACTACTAATTTTACTTTGACAGAACAATGATGTTGACATAAATCTACCCAATACATTTTGCTCTATCTCTCCTTTAGCTTACCAGTTGACTCTCAGGAGGTCTTGTCTGGGAGTATGAAGGGAAAATGCACAAATATGAAAGGTTTTTCAAACAATAACAAATTCTCTTGGCTTTGATGTCACTTCCTCTGAAAGACCAAGCTTGTCACTAAAAGTATTTTCTTCATTGTTTACTTGAGGAGGGAACTGGGATCCCTGAATTTATACCACAATATTCAGGGTGAAAAGGAGGATTATAAAAAAAGTGAAAATATTCACCTCAGCCTTCGTTTTGCAAGACTTTTAGAGCATATTTTTTCCATACCACTCTGAACATTAAGCAAAGCTGTTATTGCTTGTTTCAAACATTCCTTGTCTTCTTGATCTTCACTCTTTTCTTCTAACTGCTGCAAAGTAAAAAATGACAAATCTGAATTAGCAGAACAGTTCTGGCCCAAAGAAATAATAATCCCATTTTTACTTAAGGATAAAGATAACATTGATTAACTCTTTCTACCACAATAAATAAAAATTTTAAACCTGTCATAAAATATATTTTATTTATTTATTTGGCTGTGCCAGGCGGGCATGCGGGATCTTAGTCCCCCGCCCAGGGATCAAACCCGGGCCCCCTGCATTGAGAGCGTGGAGACTTAACCACTGGACCGCCAAGGAAGTCCCTAATATTCTTTTTAGAAGTCTTTTTCTTCCTTTATATTACTATCCATATCAACATGCAACCAAGTTTTCTACATTAAAAAAAACAAAAAATGTAGAAACAGTGTTAACAGATGTCACACCTTCTGACAGGCAGTAATGTGCAGCTTCTCAGATAAATATTACTGAAAGGAAATGAGGGACATAAATTATCTTTTTACCATCATAGGTCTTGGCACCGCAGTAGACACACAGATGAGATTTTTTTTGAAGTGTGTAATTTGGTCTTAGATTTCTGATTCCCACATTACGGTTGTAAGCAATGGAATGCCG